GAGAGGGGGGTCCATCCAGGACTGGGAGGGGGGGCTTCGGCTTGACTCCCCGCCCAGGGTAAACCGGCCTGCCAAGAGCCCCTGAAACTCACCCACCCACCCACTTCACTGGCGTGTCTTCAGCTAGAAGGAGGAATCAGCGTCTCTCCCTCTCTCTCCCCCTCCTGCCCCCTCCTCACATCCAGCCATCCCCCCCCTCAAATTCAGCTATGGTCAGAAGGGGCGCAGACGGGAACTGCCAGCCCCCCACGCAGAGCCAAGGCTGGAGCTGCTCCTTCTGTTGGTTTCCAAAGCTGGTTTTTCCGTTTTTCTTTGAATTCCTCTTTTTTAATCCGTCGCAAGGGGCAGCGGGTTCAGGACGAGCCCTTCCTCCCGGCTTGTTTCTGCAGCCCGTGGAAAAGCGGAGCACTTTTCTGGGGTGCTCTTGGGGGGGTATATGGAGGGGTATTATTGTTGTTGGAGCAGCATCTTAAGAGCATGTCTCTTTATGGTGCCACAAAAGTCTTGTTTCCTGCTGCTGGTGTGACTCTCCTTTGAAAGTGTAGGGAAAATCTGGCTGGAGGTAACCCCTGGAACAAAGTAAAATCTGGATGATTGACACTGAAAAGCAAAACATACATGCTTGTCAGACTGAAAGGAGGAGAAAGGGAAGGAGCCCATGCTGCTGAAACAGGATCCCTAAAGCCAATCCTTTTTTTAAGTAAGGGAGGAGAGACATGATTTGTTATAGAGGCCTCCCATTGCCCGTATCTCATTCCTGCAGTGGGCATTGCTAAGTATTATTTGTGGACTAAATTATGGGGTCAGGGTAGATAGCTAGTACAATCCTCCGGGCATATCTGCCCAGGATCAAACCCCTTGGGAATGAGGATGTCATTTCCACCAAAACGATTGCATTCATTTTAAGATGCCCTGCAGCAAACGGGGCACCATACGGCCAAGGGATGCATGGATATGGGCTATCTGCAAAAGATGCCCTTCGTTTTCTGGAATGCAGAAACAAAGCGGGGCCATTTTCCAGCACGAATATTGCTGCTTATTAAATGAGCCTAAGCCAATTCTACCCCCCTCCCCCACACTTTGGGAGAGAAAAGCCAAAACCTTTTGGATTTCTTTTGGGACGCTTGTCAGAGGCCAAAAACTTGCCAGGAGATTTGTTTAAAGAAGCTTCTTGTTTCCAACTGGGAGGTCACACAAGAGAGCAACGCGAGTGAAAACTGTTCTCCAGGGCTTTAAATAGGGGTTCCTGTTCAGATGAAGGAAAGATGTCTAAGGGTCAAAATACCGTTTCTACCTCCAGCTGCTTTCTTTTCTTATGTGAAAAAAAGGATCTTCCAGCTGCTAATATCCTACATTTTTTGCACGAGTCGTTCTATTGTAGTGATTTGTTAACAAGCGCTAGGTTAGACAGGAAGACGGACAGATTAAACCCAGTTTGCAGGGTGTCGTGGAGTGGCATTGCACTGAAACACATTGCGACCATAATGCATCTGTGGAGTCCTTGCTGCTCTCTGAGCTTGGCGGTTTGCTGGCAGACGTTTCCTTACCCATCTAGGTAACATCATCAGTGCAAGTGAGGGCGGGGTGTGCTCCCTGTTTATATATAGTCGCTTGTCCTGCCAGTGTTGGTGGGGGTGTGGTTTTCTCCTTGGTAGTTCCTTAATTAGGGTATTATCATATTATTATTATTATTATTATTATTATTAGGATAACACCTGAGCTACAGATATTCTCTTCTATTGGAACATGATGCATCTCTGCGGGAAAGACATGGCTGAAACCAATTGCTTGCCCAAGGATCATAAGATCTAAAATTCAGTCAAATTCAAATCAATCCATCCCAAAACCTGCTAAGGGGATCATAGCACGATTTTAACACCCATCCCCTTCTTTAAACTAAGCTTGTTTACTCGGAAGTAAGTCTAATGGGATTTGCTTTGAGATAAACACTCTTTGGAGCTGGGGTAGAATTCTGCTCAACCACATAACTGCCAGTGGTCATCTCCACCCCCCGCCCGATTAAATTGAACAATTCTACTGTATTGATCTGCTGATTGAGCCAATTCGGAGCAAAAGCAAAAAAAGGTGCTTTTACTCAGATTCTGCATTGGATGAAACAGAAAATGATTGCTGATTCCCCTTATTGTGAATTTCTCTTTGTTGGAGGATTGCTGACTTTTCAAGGGAAGAATGAGGCTCGGGGGCGTCTGCTGGGGGCGGGGTCAAAAAAGTCAAGGTGGCCCCACAACCATGCAACCAATTATTATATGGTGGTGGCCACCATCTTGATTTTTTTGACCCTCTCTCCCTGTGGAAACCCCTGGTGAGGCTTTTTCAAACATCAGATAAGCCAGTCAGTTGGTAACCTCAGATGTGTGCATGCCTTAAGGTTTACCCCGTTCGACTCAGAGAAACTCTCGTGACACGTGTGTTCCACAAAGAAGTTTACGAAGGTTACTCAATCGTAACGTATGTAATTACAGACAAAGCCAGGACTGGCTTGGCACATCTTACAATACAATTTATAGTCCCCGTTCCCGCGCTTTGCTCCGTTGCTTGGTTATAAATCACCCGCAGGAATCCCCCCCTTCACCGAAATGGCAGATTCAGTTCAGTTCTTTTGTCTCTTGATTGCTTTACCCCACTGCCGTGGTCGTAGTCTTCGTTGGGTCTTTCTGTTGTGTGCAAAGCCGAGGCTTCCCAATCCCGCGCTGATTGCTTTGCCTCAGGCCGCTGCTCACTCCTTTGTCTACGGGCGGCCGAGGCTAATTGGCGGCTAATTGGCGCCGACACAAAATATCCGCTTGCGGTTTTTAGTTAAGCGGTCCCAGCTGGCCCATTAATCAGTTTGAGGTTTTCCCACTTTGCTTGCGCTCGGGCAGTGGAACTGACTCAGTGTGGCTGGGCAAGTCCCTAGCCATGCAGCGCCAGCCGAATCTGACACATGCAAGCACACCTACCCACATCTCCACCTGAGGTCATGTGGGTGTGGTATATGGATGAATGCTAATTGTTTGCTCCCCAGGGCTACATTCCATAGTAGTGAATGGTCCTAGTCTTAGTAGGAGATTTGAATTAACTGTACCATAGAAAACATGAGGACTAGGGGCTTGGGTGCCAAAGGGGAAGGTTGAAAGAGACTTGAGGAAACTAGGAGAGATAGCGTAGGAAGTTATACTAAAAGTGGAGGGGTTTTCAAATGGAGTGGATTGCTCCTCTTTTCTCAGTTTTATTGAATCACACCATCCTGCTAGTCAGAACGGGTCAGTCTGTGACTTAACGAGAGAGATTTACAGAGCTCCAAAAGTTAGGACTTCCTGTTTGAGATGCTGCGGTGAAAACACCTTTCTCGACTCTCTTCTGATTAAAAGGCTTTCAATCTTCTCTGTTTATCAGACTGTGTGGATAAGGACATTCATCGTCCGGTAAATAAGACTTTTCATTACATATTTTGTTTTTAATGAGCTACTGGAATGGCAACCAGACCTAAGCATTCAACAGCCGCCTCAGTTTCAACTACACCGGAAAATGGCGGCGAAGGGTTCTTCTGCGGCTTGGCTAAAAAAGATCCTGGCTAAGGTACAACTCTTGAAGCTGATCCAACAAGATCTGGCAGAGCTTAAATGTGATTTCAAAACAATACAAGGAAAAAATGGCTCGCTGTGAGGATCGTTTAAATGCCCATGAGATCATAACTCAAGCCAGTCGTAATAAATGAATTACTTATCTGGAGACACTATTGTGTAGGAAAAACCTACTTTCCAGTTGAGATGGATCGTGTGATTAAAATTCCTATAATGAGAAGGAAGATTGGAACCAGTTCCAATATTATTATTGTGCAAATCCTCCGTGTTACCACAGGAGATGAGATGTTACGTATATTTCGCCAGGAATCAGTAAAGTCTCCTTTGAAGCAGGGCTCTAGTCAAAGCAAGATATCAATTTATCCTGATTTCACTAAAGAGATTTCAGAACAAAGAAAGTTGTTTACAAAAGCTCGAAGTCTCGCCACATCAATACAAGTTCAATATTTTATGCATTTTCCAGCTATATTCTGCATTAATCATCAAGATCAGATTCACAAATTTGATAATTCCCTGAATGCAGAGGTCTTAATCTTATCTTTAAAATTGGCAGGTGGACTAGCTTGACTGTGTTTCCTTTTATGGAATCTGCCACAGGAGAAGTTGGAATTTGCCTACAGTAAGGAGCTCCAAAAGTCATCACTCTGATGTGCCTTTTGATTGATTTAACTCTTCCAAGTTGGGGGAATTGTTTCCCACTCCCTCTTCTTTTTTGGAAACCTACGTGTATAGTTTTGGCTTTTCAAAAGAAGGAGCCACAATATGTTTACTTCTTGTCAGCCTTACTAGATAGACCAGACAGAAAACATGACCAGATGACTGAATTCTACTTTATTGTAAGGCTACATTAACAGAATCTTGCAAGTCTGAAAGTACAAATCTCCCCCCATCTCCTTTACAGCCCAAGAAACTAGGGAGGGTCCCTTCTGAGTCTCTTGCCCCACCCACTAACCAGCTGTGGGCTCAGTTCCCTCTTATCTGACCGTTCCCTAGGTGGTGTCTCTTCGCCCAGCCTCCCAAGGTCATTCCCACATACCATTACACTTCTTGTACCAAGTCTCCGAATTGCCTGGGGATCGTGCGGCCACAGCCTAACTGATGTTGGTGTTTTTGAAGCAGGTGAGGAGAAGGTGACCCTTTGACCCTCTGGATGGAGTTTTGGGGTTCCCGGCCTGAGAGATCCACGAGCTTCCCAGCCTGTAATGGAGAAACCGAATGACCCAAAACCTAGCCGGTTCTATAAATGCACCAAGGAAGACGCCAAACTCGTCGAAAAACTTCCTGAAAGCTGTCAGTCGCCGTTGAAGAAAGTCAGTGACAAGACAGTCATAACTGGAGGTGCCGGTTACTTTGGCTTTACTCTTGGCTGTGCTCTCGCTAAATCAGGAACCAAAGTCATTTTGTACGATGTGAATCTGCCTATCTGGGACATCCCGAAGGGAATCATCCTCATAAAGGTATTTTTCTTTTCTGCGGACATCTTAATTTGCCACCTTTGGAGTCGGGGAGGAAAAAGCCCAACACAAAATATTTTTGCAAAACTTTAGTGTCAGTAGGTTTGGTTTCATATAGGTGGGGTTCACATGACGCACTTTAATGGGATAAGGAATTAACTTGCTTTCTGGGTTTGTACAATGCATTGATCCATCGGCTAACCAGACAGAAACCAATGCAAGATTGAAGCCCATCACGCTGAGCCACTTTTGCCAGTGCAGCCTGTTTTGATTAGTCGAGGGATCCGTGTATTGCATGAATCCAGGAAAGCGGTGGATCCCACTATTAATAAAATGCCAGGGGGTAACATAAAGGTCAAGGGCAGACTAGGGCAGAAATGGACAACGTGGCCCTCACGGGATGCGACAGAACTGCCTTCCCCAAACTTGTGGATTTTCCCTCCCCGAATTCCCTAGCTAGCAGGCCCATTGCTGAGAATTCTGGGAATTGAAGTCCACACATCTGGAGGTGGCCAAGGCTGGAAACCCAGTAGGGAAGATGTTAGATGCTTGTGTCATTTTGAGCTTCCCTAGAAAATAAAAATGAGGGGGAAAAAATTGTAAGGCTGCATTGACAGAATCTTGCAAGTCTGCAAACACGATCCTCCCCCCACCCCCATCTCCTTTACAGCCCAAAAAATTAGGGAGGGCCCCTTTTGAGCCCCTTGCCCCACCCACTGTCCAGCTGTGGGCTCAGCTCCCTCTTATCTGATCATTTCCTGGGCGGTGTTTCTTGGCCCCGTCTCCCAAGGTCTTTCCTGCATACTATTACACGTTCCTCCGGTTTTTGTGAATATCTCTGGAGGTTTTAGCTGAAGTCTGACATGCTGTTTTATGAGTAGGCTGGAAAAGCAACACTTTTCCTCCGAGCTGTCACTCACAGGGGTTTTCTCCCTGCATCACAGTCGGATGTGCGAAACTTCAGCGACTTGTACTCAGCCTGTGAAGGGGTGGATTGTCTATTTCATGCAGCCGCGTACGGGATGACCGGAATAGAGCAAGTGAGTCCGCCGTGATTTTCCTTGTTCAGCCTTGTGGTCTTGCGACTCGTACGGGCTTTCTTGAAGAGGTGGGATGCTTATTCTGGGAAGATGCCAGGTTGGTGAAGGTGGCTGGAGGTAGCCCGTTTGTGGCTTCTCTGCGCGTAAAGATGCTCTTCCCTCGCCTGCTGAATGGAGATATTTAAAGGTCAGTTCTGAGAGGTAGTTTGGTCTAGGGGTTAAACCGCTCGATGAGGTGTGGGGAGACCTGAGTTCTAATCCTGCCCTTGGCTGGGAAGCCAGCTGGGTGACTTGAGGCCAGTCCTTCCCTCTCAGCCCTGGGAGGAAGAAGGCAAGGCCGACCACTTCCAAAAATGTTGCCTACAAAACCGTGGGGACTTGTCCAGGCTGGAGTCAAGACTGACTTGAGGGTCGGTAAATAAATCTGGGCGTTTGACCCAAGGCGTAGAAGAAATGCAACATTTCAGAAGCCTTTCTAGGACCTTCTGGTATAACGATTCAGGAAACACAAAGGGAACAGAGCAGTGTTTCTCAACCTCAGCCCCTTGAAGATGCGTGGACTTCAACTCCCAGAATTCCCTGGCCAGGGGAATTCTGGG